CAAAAAAAAAAAAAAAATCCAATAAACAACAAGTCACATTAAAGAATCAAATTCCCCCAAAGGGAGCAACATATACAAATTTCACACAGATGACGATATCGAACACAAATCGTCCAGGATCTGCCTGATGTTCGGCCGCTCGTTTACAGGCAGAATGCACCTCAAAGAAACTGCAAGCATTTCATCCATGGCTTTCGTGTGTTCTTCCCCACACGCAATAATCTCCCTGTCTATGCAATCCATCCCTCGTCCCTCCTGATCGCACAATCTCACCCAATCAGTCAGATCAACGGCTCCCGACTGCCCTGAGATGATGTCACCCGCACTTTTCCTCGTCAGCAGTTCCATCAGAATCACACCAAACGCGTACACATCAGCCTTGAAGGATGGGCTGGGCCTGGAGGCCACGGCAAGCTCAGGGGCCCGGTAGCCAAGGGCCCCCAGATTCAGGATCTGCTCCGCGATGCCAGCTGGCGTCATCAGCCGGTGGAGCCCATAGTCGGTGAGCTGGACAGCATACTCAGTGCCAGCTAGGATTACGTTCGTGGGCTTTAGGTTCCCATGTGGGAGTCCCCTGTCGTGAAGGAAGAGAAGGCAACGAGCAACTTCAATGGCAATTATCAGCCTTTGGTTGAACGATAACGGGGAGTACCTCCGAGGTGTCGACTCTAAATTCAGAAAGGAAAAAAAAAAAAGAAAGTATAAAGTAGAATATTAATATTTTTTGATATCATCAACTCATGGAAATTATAATGTAGAATACTAATATTTTTTGATACCATAAAGATGCAAGGCCAAGCTGTCGCCCGACACATAGTCAGCTAAGATGAGCCTCTCTTGTTCTCTCGGCCCCCAATAATAAGCGCGTAAAGGAACTATATTCTGATGCCTAATAGACCCGATCTTCTTCACCTCCTTTGCAAAGTCTTTCTTGTTCTTGACTAACCCGACTCTCAACCACTTCACAGCCAGCATATGCCCGTTATCAAGTGTAGCTTTGTACAGTGTCCCGTGGCTGCTTCTACCCAAAACCTCTGCCGGGGCCCGGGACAACTCTTCTGCCGTAAATATAAGTGAATTATCCAAGAAAAGCAAATCGCCAGCCAATCGATCGGGAGAATACACATTTAACGTCACGGATTGTCCTATCGCGTCTATAAATCGAGGGGACGAAGCCGCCATTGGAGAGTCCGGAGAGGATGACTTCCTTCCGGATGTTTCCGGTTGACCAGTAGCAGCGGGCCCCGCACCACCAGACGATTCTCCAGACCCCTTTTGACCAGAAGTCAACAGATGGTCATTGGAAAAGCTCAATGAGGCCGGGGGAGGGCCCGCGCCTCCCGTGTGGAAATTGAAAAGTGAAGGACGATTAAGTCTTCCCACTTTGACTTCTTGACCACCCGAGGGCCCACGGAAGCCTCGGAAATCATGAAGGCGGGCCCTTCGGTAGGCAAAAAGAACGACAGCTATCATCACGGCAGCTCCAGTACATGCCACGATTATAGCTATAGTGATGCTCGTTTTAGAGTGGTGGTGGTTTCTTCTATTGTCTAGCTGGTTCGGAACATGGTTATTATCCGAAGGGGAACCATGATGATGCCAGTCGAGCCCGTCATTTCCAGGCGTAAATGAAGAATCGGGAAAGCCAGCCAAATTTTCGGGGATTTTTCCGGATAAATTGTTGTAAGCCACGCTGAAGAACTTGAGACTTGACGGGAGTTTACCGGGAATGTGACCGTTGAAATTGTTATGGGATAAATCGAGGTACTCCAGAAGAGTAAGTTTGCTTAATTCGCTTGGGATCTGTCCGGAAAGATTATTCCTGGAGAGATTAAGCAACTTAAGCATCCCCCAATTACCTATATCTGACGGTAATTCGCCCGTTAAGGCGTTGTTTGAAAGGTCTAGAGACTCCATTGATGGAATTGTGGGAAGAACCAATAGCTCACTCGCATGAGAGTTTTGGATAGGAATGGGCCCGGTTAAATGATTGCTGGACAGGTTAAGATATGTGATGGTGACCAAAGTGAAGAAGCTATGTGGGATTGGGCCATCAAATCTGTTGGAGCTAAGATCGATTGTGACGAATTTGGAGCCCAATGAAAAAGGCAATGGCCCCTCTAACGAATTGTTTCTAGCTCTGAGCAAAGTTAATTTTTCGAATTGTGTCAAATTGGGAAGGGTACCTCTCAAGCTATTGGAGCTCAAGTCTAAAGCTTCCAGATTGTAGTTCCAGTTGTTTAGAACAGATATGTCGTCTGATAGAAGATTTCTGCTAAGATCGACAATCAGACAATTTCCTAATGATGGCGGCAAGGAACCGGAGATTGAGTTTGACGAGAGGTTGAGAGTGATCAAAGTCGTTGAGTTGATCTCTGGAATGGGACCTGAAAATGTATAATGCAAAATAGTAAGTTTACAATCCCTTCAGAGAAAAGGTTGCCACGCACAAAATAAGATGAAAATTAGCAGTATGATAACAAACACAAAAATTTGAAACAATATTCATAGAATTCAGTACATTGTGTCTGTTCAGCATCAAATTCGTAAAGCTGGGAACATTTGCTATTTCATCAGTGGGTTAAGGAATTCAATTATTAACCAGTGATTAAATCCATGGAAAACATAATCATCCACTAGAAGCACAATTGACTCTCATTAATCATTATCAGAGACGGTCTAGGTTTTCATCTGAAAAGCTCGTGTATTATGTAAATATGAATTGAATCAATTCCATCGTTGTCGCTTATTGCTGCAATTCATTTTCGCTATGTTCCAACTTACAACTAAAAGATTATTGCAAAATTGATTTCTTCTTTGTGTTGTAACTATGTGTGCCTAGTTAGTAGTTACAAAGGCCATAACAACCGGAGAAGCATACGTTGGTTTTGGATACAAGAACTTTCAGTTTCGTTTCGCTATAAGTTTTTCGTCCAAAGTTCTAGTGCTTATGAAACTTTTGGGAATATGCACTACTCAATCACATTTTCCTACAAATTCCATTATTCACCCACGCACACATTCTTATCTATCAAATATTTATTTTACGATTCATATATTATATCAACTTCCAGCATAACATTTTCATCTCATAGCCACTCATTTAAAATATTCTTCTAACACAACGTTTTTTTCATTAGTCTCTAGTAGGAAAGAAACCTATATACAAGGAAATACAATTACATTATTCAGATAAAAAGGGGAAATGGGGAGAGAGTCCATTGTTTAGTTTAGCATTAAACGTAGCCACCAATATTTTGAGGAAGAATAAGACGCAAACAAGTCAGAGTTCATATGATGGCAGGTACATACAACGTAAAATTTTAATCGGCACGTGTCTACCTATACAATTGAAAGATCCAGATTTCGTTACTTTCCAAACATAATAACATATATGCACGAACCACAGCTCGGAAAGATCCAGATTTCGTTTATTGACAAACATAACTACATATATGCACGAACCACAGCTCAGAATCCAAAAACAAAGGTACACGTGTTTTTTAACGGCTTTATGACGACCTAAATCATACAGTCTATCTATCTACATTAAAAGCAAACACTTCAAAAATAGTCAGTGAGAAAGAACAAAGATGCAAATACAATAAAGACAATTTAAAATAAAAGGCAAACCCTCACCAGAAAATTCATTAACACTGAGGTCCAACTCAACCAATGGGACAGCTCCCTGCAGAAACTCCCCGGGTACAGACCCAGAAAGCTGATTATTCCGCAGCCTGAGCGTATGAAGATTCGGCAGCTGCTCAAACTCTGGAAGTTCACCACCAATCATATTATCACCCAAATCCAATACCTGCAAGTTCCGAAACAATCTCATGGCGTCACTCCCCCATAGACGACCCCCTAAATTGTTCCAGCTCAAGTTCACATACTTCACTGTGTTGGCCAAACTAGAGACATTATCCACACTGAGTTCCATTGATCCAGAAAAACCATTTCTGCTCAAATCCACATATTCCAGATTCCTCAGCTCCGGAATCAGTTCCCCCACAACCCCCTGCAGCTGGTTCGAGTGCAAATCCAAAACTTTCAACTGCTGGAGGTTGCGAATTCCAGCAGGAAACCATCCAGAGAAATTATTGTTCGACAGATTGAGATAATGCAGCGCCCAAAGGTCATTCAACCTGGACGGAATCGGCCCATAGAACTGATTACCAGATAGATCAATCACCTGGAGAGACGACATTACCCCGAGAGTCGGGACGAGCCGCCCGGTGAGCCAATTCCCGGTGAGGGTCAGGTTCTGGAGGAACTTGAGCGGGATGAGGGTGCTGAACTTCAGGTCCCCGGAAAGGGCGAGGCCGTCGAGGGCGACGGCGACCACGGCGGAGGTGGCGTCGTCGCAGACGACGCCGTAGAAGCCGCCGGGGCAGGCGGAGGCGTTGGAGGGGGGTACCCAGGAGGAGAATACCCGGCCGGAGGGGTCGGATTTGATGCCCTTCCTGAACTCGAGGAGTGATTTGACCTCGTCGTTGGAGGCGGAGACATGGCGGTGGAGCAGGAGGAAGAAGAGAGCTACAGCGAGAGTCATCGGCGGAGATGGAGGAGAGAGAGAGATTGAGCGATGGGAGTGAGGCTAGGGGCGAGGCATTTGGTGGGAGAAATTAGGGTTTTCGAGATTTGGGGAAAAATGGGGGAAGAAGACGAGCTATTGTGTGTCCCTGTGAGTTGTCTGTCTGAATGTGTGTGTTTGTGGGTGTTAGCTGTGTGCAGAGGTGAGTTTTCTTTATCAGTCTCTGCTTTTGTGTGTGTCTCTGTGTGTGAGAGAGAGAGACAGAGAGTAGGGTTTTTATATACCGAAAATGAGCTGTAAAAAGGTCGGAAATGGAAGTTCTGTTCATGAGGTGGGTCCAAACTTAAATTATTATTTTTTATTTTTTTTTATTTTTTTTTTTTNCTTTCCAAATCAGAACTCCAAACGAGCCAAATTAAGCATTGGTAGCATCCAGCCATGCTTAAGTTTTTTTACATTTGCTCGAGCTCAAACTCGACGACTCTTGCTGGAGGCTCGATTTGACTCGATGACAAGATACAAACGCTTGAGACCAGTATTCAATGCGATCAATTTAAATTTCACTCGAATTCAGCTAAAAAAATTTTAACTACAAAAGGTATAATGAGGAGAATTTAGATAATTTTGTGTGTATTTGAGCGGATCTTTTAACGCCTCGAGATACAAACTACATGCTCGAGCTCATCAAAGTCAATTTCGACTAGAGCGCTCATGAATTGCTTGCAAATAGCTCGATTCGTTTGCAATCCTATTTTGGAGTTTTCAAAACTCGAGTGTTAAAATTTGATGTTTTGTAACCATATATCTCAACTTTCAGTACTTTACATGTAACTTTGAAATTTTATATATCTTTAATATTTTTGTATTATAAACCATTGGATTACTTAAATTATATATATTATAAAATGTAAACAATTTTAACTTGTTATTATTTAATACATTAAATTTATAATCTTTTGATTATCTTGATTTGAAATATAACTTTCATTTGTATTATAAATTTCTTAATTAAGCCTAGTGTTGAATTACATGGGTGGTGCACGTCTAGTGTAATTTATCATTTTAGGAGAATTTTTTAACATTATGTTTGTGCTCATTTTCACTGAACTCGTTGATAAGAGGACTATCAAGATGAAAACAAATGAAGTGGAATCAAACATGAACATTGCATTGTCTAAATATTTATTTTAAAGTAGGAATTGTGAAGGTGGAGAAGAATGAAACCCCATCCACATGCTTGCTAGGTGGGTTAGCAAATGATCCTTCTCATTCAAATATTTAATATATTTTTCTCCATTTTTGTGTTATTATTAGTCAAATCGGGTTTAAGTGAGATTCATATGAAATGAAAATAACACAATTCGAGTTGATTAGATTTTTTATACTTTTAGAAAAGTCATATTGTTAAAATGCAAAGCAATGAATATATATAAGCACACGCAATATTTAATTTTAAATCTAACCAAATATATATGTAAATATTTGGCATATGCTCATTTTAAATCTAACCAAATATATATGTAAATATTTGGCATATGCTTGAAAGAGTATGTGTAATTTTTCACTAAACACTTTTAGTTATTAAAAAAAATCATGTAGAATTTTTATATTTTCCCCTTCTTCAATTTTAGCATTATATATTGTCTAGGAAATCTATATATATATATAATAAGAATTAGTATTTACCAAAAATAATAATCAAAAAAATCTGGCAACATTAATTGCATACCATTTCAGGCAAGTTTTGTTGTTATTTTTTATTTGTTAAATGAGAAACATTTAAATATGCCTTCAATCACGGATACTTAGTTTTGGTAACCAAATTGCTCAATTCTGGTACAGATAATGCTTTTAAAAATTTGAGTTTTATTTCAATACCAATCATTTTTAAAATTAATTGATATCAACATTCATTAATTTGGGCAAAAAAAACTTGCAAGTTCATAACCCATAATAATTGTGTGCAATTCATCAAAATCAATGATATCACATAATTAATTGTTAGATTTGTATGTTTTCAGCCGAGTTGAGTTTTAAAAGAAAAAAATCATTTGGATGCCAAAAATTTTGTGTAACAAAATAATTTTGCCGATCAAAAAGATAACAAATCTACCGACACGCACTCAAATTCTAAGAGTTCTTTTGACTAATCGTAAACACCTAAAAAGTCCGAATTTAAAAGTATAAAAATCGACATAAAAACCTTAAAGTTAAAAATTCCACATTTCTTTTTCGGGCAAAACAACTAAAATTAACAAAATCTATCGCGCACACTCAAATTCGAAGGATTCTTTGATTAATTGTTAAAACCAAAAAATTCGAACATAAAACTAAAAAACGAAAATAAAAACCCTCAAATTGAACAATCCATATTTTGTTTCGTGCAAAACACTTAAACTAATTTAAAGCATCGATTAAATGAAAACTAAAAAAAGAATATGTATTTATAAGACCCTCAGTGTTAGAACGGAAAAGTTGGAAGAAGATCGATGAAAAAAGACGAAAGAAAAAGCTGGAAGCGGCGAAAAATGAAGGAAGAAATGAAGCCCTTGGTCCGATAATTTCACTATTTATACTATGTTCAGTGTAATCTAAACCATCAATTTGCGTTGACTAACCTGGATCACTGAATCATTTTTTCTGTTTTGTTTGGGCCGATATGAACATTCGAAGCCAATATTGTAAATTGGGCCGATATGAACTTTTTGAAGCCCACATTTTTCAAAAACATTTCTATTTTACATACCCAACATGATTAATATAAATAATTACACGTATCTTATAATAAGTATTTGTTAGGTTTAATTATAATCCATGATATGTGCTTTATTATATAATTTGAATTTAAATATAAAATTGCCTTTTAAAAAAGATGGAAATAATAAAGTCCCGTGCATCGCACGGTAGTGTACTAGTAACCTTCTTTAAAAGCATAAAGAATATAGTTTTTTAATTATAATGATTATTGCAAAATTACTAAATTGAATTTTGAATAATATACAAAATAATAATTATAACAAATTGTCTAAGATTGTGTGTGTGTGTGTGTGTGTATATATATATATATTTGTATATGATGATAATATAATTTAATTTTAAATCACTTTTTTTGTTATAACACTATCCGTTTATGATAAGTAATAACTTAAGAATAATATACTTCAAAAACATTAATTGATATGCAAAATATATCTGTTATGTACTAACTCATGCTGGTATCATGTCATTGTGTCAATTGCATAATCAACTAATGAATTTTAAATTTTTAAAAATTCTTATATTTATTTTTTATAAATATGTATAAAGTAAGAAATAAGTGATTTATCTTTAGATATATAATTTATAATTTTAATATATTTTTATTTGTTATTAACATTTACAACATGAATCATAGAATATATTTAAGAAAATAAAAAAAATTCTTTGGATCAACTAGTGATTGAATTAGATTAATACTCAAGTTGATTGAATTACTTTGATGTGATATCTAAAATCGTTAAAAAGCATAACAAAACTAGGGTTGAACTCCAGTGACCAAGTTATGAGTAAGTTTGACCAGACGAAATCGATTATTGAAACTAAATATAAATTTTAACTTGTTCAATGATTTATAAATATTTATATATCATTTTATTAATATTTATGTGAACAAAAATATATCGTATTACAATTTCTATTAATGTACAGCAAATCCAAGCTTCTCAGAACTAGACTCTCATCGAACAGATCAAGTTATTTATTCAATGATTTATTGGTTGAAGAATTTAATTTATTAATATTTTAATATCTTGTAATAAATTTATGCAAAAAAATTTAATTAAGTATCCGAACAGTATAAAATTTCAATGTTTATACTAATTGATAAATAATTCATAAATCTCTATTTATTTAAACGTGTATTTTTATTTATATTAAATATAATTTTAAATGTTATAAAATTTATAAAAAAAAATTAAATTGATCTACCAGTCTGACCGACTGGTATTGACCGCTTTGTTAGCAAACATTTTATTCAAGTGAACTGGATAGATTGATAAACCGGCTTTTGGTCAATCCGGTCAGACTGTACGGTCAAAAAAATTATGGGTAATCTAATGATTAATGTTATTTATATATTTAGTTTATATTACAATCGTAATAATGTTTTTCCATGCATTACACGGGCCAGATGCTTGTTAAAATATAAAAATTCTAAGAATTTACCTTACATAATACGGAAAGCCCATCCTTAAATTTTAGTATTACTAAATATGTAATCTTAAATATTAACAAAAAAAAATATGTAATCTTAAAAAATAATTTGAATTTTAAAATTTTGCATTGTATATGAAGTTATGGATAAAATATTTAAAATTTTATCTCAAAATGTAGGAAGATTTTTCTAGCCATTTTTTTACTTATCAAAAAATGATATTGGTAATATAATTATTCTTTTAATGTGACAAAGTTTAAATACCGAACATTTTCGACAACCCATGGATTGATATTTAATACCCAAATTTTCGAGATGCATAAGAATCATACTTATCATGAATTCCAAAAATCATTTATATCCTAAATTTAAAGAATCCTCACGAAAGCTATTTATTTCATAGAAATGATTTTTTTGTAAAAGGCATTTTTTGATAAATCAATGGCTAGAAACTATTACGTACTTGTAATTGTATTACGTACTAGCATATTTATATAAGAAACTATTATATTTTTATTTATTTATTATTTAAATATGAAATTACTCATATCGCTAAAAGTATAGTTTCTAAAGTTTATTTGTGATGTTCTTAAAAAGTTAATATGACCTAGAACTGTAAAGGCGTTTATTTCTTGGGATAGTTTCAAATCATTAAGATATGGACGAAGCTGAAAATGAATTTAATAAGGGTGTATTTAGGTAGTCATATCTTTTTAATATGTGCACACTTTCAAATTAAAATTTTTAATATAATATACAACATAAACGATATTATAACTTTTTGTTATGCTTTTATGATAAAAATATATGATGGGTAGACCAGTTATGACATTTTGTAGCAAAGTACACATTTTCATGAAGAAAACNCTTTTCAGCGAACATAATTTTTGTAATTCAATAACGCGTAATTTGACAAATTTTAAATACCAAATATTATAAAAACTCATCAAAAGTCTCGTGATCCATACAAAATTATTTTTATTAAAAAATCATTATATCCTGAATCCAATATAATCTGTCACGAAAATTATTTTATTTTTTTTCTAAAAATGAACTTTTTTATTATTTAAAAAAAGGCATCTTCAACGATCCGCATTTAATGTAGTTTTATTTTCTATTGAATAAAAGAATATAAAAAAATATTTCGTGATAATTTTTGAGTTCGCTGTCAAAATATTGATCCAGAAACTTTTGGTATTAAAAAAGTATCGTGAGATAGTTTTACAACTTACATGTGTGCCATAAAACCATTTTTTATATATTGTTGATAACTGACCTGACAAGATCAATTAAGGGACGCCACGTGGAAGATTTGTTGTTAAGGTATCAAAGATCAGAAGAAGAACCGATTTAGCGGAACTCAGTTTGAACTAAGGGCGTGACCGACCTCTTCACGAGGACGAGAACCGACTTCCTTTGAAGAGTCGAGTTCAACGCATATGCGGCAAGTGGCTGATGGGATGCCTGTCAATCGGCCGTCGGTCGCACATGACCTTACTGTTATGTGTGGGCCCATTTGTAGTGTAGCCGTCCCTATGCGATCTATTCGCATTAAATAATGTCGAATCAGTCTCAAACGACGAGCTAAGAATTACTATAAATAGTAGCATTTACTCCAATATGAAGATCTTTTTTCGACACATTAAATACACGACTTGAAAATAATAAGAATACAACTAGTTTACATTTTTCTTTTCACTTAATTTTCATAATTATCGTTGTTAAATTTTATATAACAACAGTTGTATAACATAATTTATTATGACAAATGTATTGATAACTGATTGTTACCAAACTTGATTAGAACATAAAAGTAGGAAAATTTCGATTATAGCGAGTGATTGCCGAGTTAGTGTACCGATCTTGGTGATTTTCTTTTTCTTTCTTTCTTTTTTTTTTGTTTTTTTTGTTTTTGTTCTAATATACTGACTTGCCAAATGGATGTAATAATTATTTTAAGTAAGTTAGTATACTAAATTTAATAAGCGTCAAACTAATGTATCACGAAAATAATAGAATAGCTTTTTACCATCTAAAAAAGCATATAGAGAAGTAGGTGAAATTAAGTTTTAGTCTAATCCTACCCTCGCTATGGATTATTACAAAATAATCAGAAACATCAATGTAGATCAACATGCAACAAAAGCGCAGTGTGCAACTGGAGAACAAATCTCTTAATTAATGTTGGATAGAAGCATATTAAATATATCTTCATCACAAGCAGAGTAAAAGTGAAAACTATAGTCCACTTTTTTATCTATATATATTTAGGGAAAAAAATAAAATCAATTGCTTGTATAGATGCAAACATAACTCTAATTTTTATTGTGCAAAACAATTAATTGCAAAACAAATAAAATTAGTTGGAATTAGAATTTGTTCCTGGAGATGGCGAGGACGCATATTGCCTTTTCCGTTCTAATTTTCCTGGTCTTTTTCATAGGTTTGTTCTAACTATAAGCTCTTTAACAATTTATTTATTTATTTTTTTTTACCAAAAATAATTTGCAACTTTTCATTTGGTTTAATTTTTTTTTCCTTTGTCATGATACTTAATTTAAAGTAACACCAAGTGATTAATTAGTTAGTTTTGTGTGTATGTGTTTGTGTTCTCATGATCTCAAGCATCTAACATATATATCATGCATGGAAATAATTGTTTTAGTTATTTGAACAAAATGTTCATCATCTCATCATATATATAAAATTATCTTTTTTTTTTATGTAATCANATCTCTATAGGGGAGTTACTTGCACAATCCCAATTGTGCAACAAATTTATCAATTGTAATGTGACCATAAATGTATGTAAAACTGAATGCAAGAACCGTTTTCACGGCTTTGGCGTTTGTGTCCAAGCTGCTCCGGCACCAGAAGTACCAAAGGCTTTAGCCAATTGGGTCGAGTCAAGTAGGGTCCAGACAGCATCAGCACCAGCACCAGCACCAGCACCAGAGGATCGAGCCATATGGGTTGAGTCGAACAAGGCAAATGCAGCTCCAGCACAAGCACCAAAGGATCAAGCCATATGGGTCGAGTCGAACAAGGCTGGAAAAGTAGCCAAGATAACCAAATGCAAGCAATGTTTGTGCAAATTCCCAAAGAAGGCAAACCAGAAATGCCCTAAATAAGCCATATGTTACTTATTTGGTGTTTTCTTTAACAACATAGTTAATAAGTCTGGTTGAAGTAGTTGGAATAAATGATACAATGCAATCTACAATACTTATTGACACCAAAATATAAGTGGTTCAAACAAAAGATTGCATTTTTATCGCTTTAAATTAGTACTTCTCCTTCTACCTCAAACGACTTTCACACCTGCAAAAACTCGACACTGGAAGGGGGTTTTTCGGTAAAGAGCCTCCGATGCCTAAGTCGGTATATTAAAGGTGATGAACAGTAAATAAACTAGTCATAAATAAAAAAATATAACTTAAAAATCAATGATAAAAATAAACCAAAAGTTACCATTTATAAAATGTAAAATATAGCATATTTGAAATTAAAATAAAAATAAAAAATAAAAAAATTGAAGATAAATTATGTAATTTTCTCTAAATCAGTAGACTAATTGAGAAAAGGTTTTCGGGCTTGCTACTTGCCTTGAAATGGAGGGGCATGGTGGAGCAGTTCACGACTACCATCACCTTAGGGCCCTATCTATTTTTCGCTGCGAGCCCAATAAGAATACTAAAGAGTAGAAAAAAGTAAAGAAGGCCGATAGATTGTCCTGGCCCAAGAGGAGAAAAGGACCAAGTGATGAGGAACTTTTAAAAGATTGCTAGAAAGTTGAACTTATTTTAAGAAAAAACCATATCATTAAAATCTAAAAAGATTCTATTCACAAAGATAAGGTCATAATTCCGTAAATAGGAGTTCAACACTAAGATCTAACTTTTTAGTAATAAAATAAAAGAACATAAGACTAGGAAAAATTATTTGTTAAATCGTTCAGGAAATTAAATATGAGTTAAAATATATCAAAAACAATTATCTATAAACTAGAATAAACCACAATTTTCTTTCATAAAAAAAAGGTCATTAAAATAAAACAAAACAAACTATTCATTAAATTGTTCCTTAGTTGCCGCATCTAAGGGTGCGGCTCGGCTGCGAGTTTGGACCCTCTTTCGTGGGTTGTTGGTGTCTTTTATGGCGGCTCTCTCCCTTTCTGGCGTGGTAGATTTTCGGAGTCCAGGTTTGAATCGAGAATTGACATTTCATCAAAGTCGTCCAAGCGGACAAGTGGCCGCAATTTTTGAATTTGAGGTTTTGATTTGCTGCTTTGTTGGATCTCTATGCTACTCGGAGTGGCTCGTGTGCCGACTCGAGTGGTCGTGCGTTATGTCTGTAAGGTGTAGGGGAGGTCTACTTTTATTTGTACATTAGGTGTACCTACTTTTCTTTGTTTTTCGGTTTGTTAGTGCAACTTCGTATGGTTCTAGTCTCCTATATGGAGTTTAAGTCTCCTTTATGGAGCTTTGATTTGTGATTGCGGTTGTCTCCTTGATGGAGTTGTACCCCTTGGATTCATTTGATATTCCAAGGGAGTAGGTCCAGGTTTTCTGCTTTCTTTGTGTCAGTTAACATTCCCCATATACTCATTTGAGTTTTCAGTTATAAAAATGGTTGTGGTNGATAACTGGCGCTAAATGTTGGGCTCAGATGCGCAAATGCGAAAGGTGTAAATTAAAACATCAATGTGAAATGATGAATAATAATAATAATCCCAGCAACTCAAGAATGAAAAAAAAAAAAAATCTTGCAATCAAACAGAAATAATTCTTTTCTGATGTGGAAGATCAGATTAAACTGCGACCACAGAACATACTAAGAATATCCCAAATAAATAAAATATGCAAGAAAGAAGACACCAAGATTTAACGTGGAAAAACCTCCAATGTAGAGGAAAAAACCACGGGACAACCTCCGAACAATTTCACTATATTTTCAAGATAATTACAATATCCTTTCACACTCCCTACACTAGAAATGTAAAATATAGTGATCCAGTGAAACCCCACTCATATTAAATATTACAAACAAGGAGTAATAGAAATGATACCCGAATCGGTGTATTTTTCCTACACTCACAGGATTTACTCAAACACTCTATTTTTACAACTCACTGAAAAATCACACTCCTGGAACTGAATATTTTGTCCCTGCTATTTTTCTCTCTTGCTTGGTGTGTCTTTCTCCTCTGCCGAATGCCTCTATTTATAGATGGGCTGGCACTCCACATTCCACGAACCTGCACCAATACAGCTGCAATGTTGATTATTTTTTTTTTCTTTTTCGGTGATGGCCGCACCGCCATTCACTTTCATTTGCTTTTTATTATTATTATTATTTTTTTTATCTTTTCTTTTCCACCGAAAGTGGTTTTGGCTGGATCCCAAAATTCTCCCCCTCTAGCCAAGGGTAATATTCTACAACTCTTCACATGCATTCCATGCCGATCAACGCGACACAAAATTGAAGCTTTCCTCTTTGTACAACTTTCGTCATCATGTCAGCAGGGTTTTCGTCTGTGTGAATCTTTTCCAACTTGAATTGTTGTTCTTCCACTGCTTGACGTAGCCAATGATATCTGACATCAATGTGCTTTGTGCGAGAGTGGTACATCGCATTCTTACTTAAATACAATGCACTCTGACTATCGCAATAAATATCGTACCTCTCCTGCTTCATTCCCCAATTGTTGAAGAAACCTCTTCAACTAAAGCATTTCTTTTCCTGCTTCTGTCAATGCAATATACTCGGCTTCAGTAGTTGACAAGGCAACAGATTTCTGCAATTTAGATTGCCAAGATATAACTCCTCCTGCAAATGTAAACAAAAGCCCTGAAATAGATTTTCTACTATCCAGGTCACCTGCCATATCCGCATCTGTATAACCCTCAAGAACTGGGTTCCCTTTGCCGAAGCTCAAACATTTATTTGCACTGCCTTTTAGGTACCTCAAGATCCACTTTACAGCTTCCCAATGATCTTTCTCAGGATTGGAAAGATACCTGCTAACAACTCCAACCACGTGAGCGATATCTGGTCTAGTACAAACCATGACATACATCAAAAACTCTCGACTGCAGAGGAATATGTAATACTCGCCATAACTTCTTTTTCTTCTTGACTCGTAGGACAACTTCGTTTGCTGAGTTTGAAGTGATTGGCTAACGGTGTATTGATCGGCTTAGCCAATTTCATGTTGAATCTCTCCAGAATCCGATTCACATACAGTTCTTGCGATAACCATAACATCTTGGATTTTCGGTCTCGCATGATCTGCATACCCAAAATTTGTTTTGCAGTACCTAGATCCTTCATGTCAAAGGACTTTGACAATTCCTTCTTCAGATCACTAATCAACTTCATATCATGTCCCAGTATCAACATATCATCTACATATAACAAAAGGATAATGAATTTATCACCTGGAAATTTCTTAACGAACACACAATGATCAGCATCAGTCTTTGTATATTATGGCTCGCCATAAACAAATCAAATTTCTTGTACAACTGTCTTGGAGCTTGTTTCAGTCAATACAAGCTCTTCTTCAATCTGCAAACCATGTGCTCCTTTCCTGTCTTCTCAAATCCTTCTGGTTGCTCCATGTAGATTTCTTCATCTAGGTCTCCATGAAGAAATGCAATCTTCACATCTAGTTGTTCAAGATCCAGATCCATGCTAGCCACCAATCAAAGTATTACTCAGATAGAGCTCATCTTTACAACCGGTGAGAATATCTCATCTAAATTTATCCCTCGCTTTTGTCCAAATCCTTTCACGACTAAGCGAGCCTTGTACTTCAACAGCTTGTCAAAATCTTTCTTAAGCTTGAACGCCCATTTGTTTTTCAAGGCTTTTCTGTCTTCTGGAAGCTTCTCAAGCTCATAAGTTTCATTTTTCACCAGTGAATCCATTTCTTCTTGCATGACTTTCATCCACTGAGATTTATCCTTATGAGTCTGAACTTCTTCAAAGCTTTCTGGCTCCCCTTTTTCAGTGATGGTAATATACGTGGAACTAGGGTACCTCGTAGATGGTTGGACCGCTCGATTTGATCTCGTGAGCTGAGGTGGAGCTTCGAGGTCTTCTTACTCGACCCCTTCACCATCACCATTTTCAATTGCTGGTTCATCATCAACCATGAGTTCTTCATCACACTCTCCCCTTACTGTGGCATCTCTAGGAGGTTGAACAGGTGAAAGATCCACCTTACCACCTGGTTCTCTAGATTCTGGTGAAGCAGAATCAGACATAGTTTCTTGTTCATGGAACACTACATCTCTGCTTCTGACAATATTTCGTTTTTCAGGATCCCATAACCTGTAGCCAAATTCCTCATCTTCATAGCCCAGAAATGTACAAGGAGTAGCTCTATCATCAAGTTTTCGTCTTTGTTCCTTGCTTACGTGAGCAAAAGCTTTGCATCCAAACACCTTTAAATGAGAGTATTTAACATCATGTCCGGACCATACTCTCTCAGGGATATCAAAGCCCAAAGGAATAGATTGAGATCGGTTGATCAGGCAGCATGCCGTTAGAACAGCTTCACCCCAGAATGGCTTAGGTAGCTTAGTCATTCTTAACATACACCTCACTTTCTCCATAATGGTTCTATTGATTCTTTCAGCCACGCCATTATGCTGTGAGGTTCCAGGTACAGTCTTCTCATGCCTGATTCTATGATCAGCACAATAATTCTTGAATTTATGGGAAGTATATTCCCCTCCATTATCTGAGCGAAAACACTTCAAAGGTTTACCAGCTTGTCTCTCCACCATAGCGTGAAACCTTTTGAAGTACTGAAAAACTTCGTCCTTCGTTCTCAAGAAATACACCCACAATTTTCGTGAAGCATCATCTATGAACGTTATGAAATATTTGCTACCACCGAGACTCTCCTCTTCCATGGGTACACATACATCAGAATACACCATTTCCAACACATTCTCTTTCAGCTTCGAGATTTTGCTGAAAGACACTCTATAATGCTTCTCAAAGAGACAATAATCACAAGGATTTAGTTTTGAATCTTTGGCAAACGGGATGAGGGACTTTCTTGCCAAAATTTGCAATCCTTTTTCACCAATATGAGTCAGTCTTTTGTGCCACAAAT